CTCCAAAGACCACACTCCGTCCACGCCTCACACTCCTCTTCATACTCCACAAGAAACACAAAAGCTCGCTCCAATCCTCACACACTTGATCTATCAGGTAGCACAGGGGCAGGTCCACGGAAATCTATTCACAGCGATACAAAAGGTTACTATAGGAAGATCGCCAGGGAAACACAACAATAAACCGAGCTGGGGTTAACACTGACGAGAGTCGGCAACAGTCCAGCAACGAGAAACACAGAACTGCCATCTTATAAAGGGACTGGAACACTGTTTGGTGATGAGCCACAGGTTTGTGATTATGACCAGGTGCATGGGCCAAGGGCAAGAGCCCACAGGTGAGCTCCGCCCAGGCAGTGAGAGAAGGAGGGACAGAGCAGGAACACAATCAAAACAAAAACACATGTAGCCACACTGAGCCGACCGGGTCGACACAGGGACCCTGACAGTCTTTTACTTTTAAAGTGAATGTTCTCTTTTTCCTTTACTGTGAGCATTTAAGTCAAAGCAGTTTTAGTCTTTGAAGTATTTACTTTTGCTTGGATGCTGGAGTTTCATAGCACAAAATATACAATCACATAATTGACCTGGTCAACTGACGATATCCAAAGATGTTTGTATTTTGTGTTTGAACAGAGGCAGTTCTGCAGGATGTGATAAAACCTTAGTCCTTTTCCATTGTGCCATATTAAAAGTTTCCTTTTAATTACCATTCATTTTAAAAATCATTCATATTAAATAACATTTATATCTTTATTTTCATATAACACATATCAAATCCAAACTGCAAATTACTTCAAACAGAAATTATAAATCTCAAAAAGCGTAATGAAAGTATATTGCACACAGTGAAGAGAATAAAATAAAATTTAAACAATTATTAAAATAAATAACAAAAAATATTTGAATTATACCACTTGAATAAAATAAAATGAGGATAGTAAAAAATAACACAGTACAAATTACTTAATTTTAGATCATAGCAGTGAAAAATCAGGTTAAATTTTTGCTTTTAAAATCTACTCTTAAGTTATTTAAAGAACAGTGAAGACAAAACTTCATTCAGCAGATGAAATTAAAATGTTCCACAAGTTGTCAGTAGATGTTCATGTTGTGCCAGTAGAGGGCGCTGCAATTGCACCAATCTGTGGTTTGCTGCTCATGAGTCGTATGATCATGTCTTGGGGCAGTCCGTTGGATATCAGCACATTTTTGATCTACAGAGAAGGAAAAATGAAGACAGATATTCTCACTGATTTTTATTATACATGTGAGGGTTCTTTAGAAAGAAGCAGCAAAGGTTTTAAGAAAATGTGCTCGCATAAACAGTTTTTATGATGAAGGGTGTGCCTGTGTGGTTTTGCATGTCTATCATGTGTGAACAGTTTAAGATATGACCCCATACAGTCATTTCTCCCAGTGGGGTACTGTAGACCAGGGGCGTCAAATTCACTTTACATCACATTCACTTTCATCTAATGCGGGCCGGATCAGTGAAAATGTCGTGTTTACACTGTGTTTCTTAGATTACTCAGTGTTCATATTTTCTTCATGGTTATTTCACTGAGTTTCATATTCTTTCAGTTTACACAGTGTTCACAGTCTTCATTGTTTTCTTAGTTTCGTGTTATGCTACTGCTTACAGCCAAATAAAGCCTCGCCTTTTGTTAACTCCCACAAACTCCTCTCTGCGTCTGCTTCTGAGTCTTAAAAACAAACAGACCGGCGTACCCCCGCTGTGACAGCAACTCTGGTTTCTGTCAGTCTAA